TAATACCAGTCAATACCATATGGTATAGACTGGTAATAACTGACAAAATTTTTTGTGTCCAAAAAATATCAAAGTGGATATCATTTTGAAGAGCACAATTAATCTGATCTAATTGTGCAAAAAAAATTAAATTTCAACTTAAAACGAGTGAGAAATCGTCCATTAAAGATTAAGAGAAGGAAAATTAAATGTTTTGCGAGGAGAGAGAATGAGGCGCTGATGTGGTCCGGTCAAAAATCAGCATAAGCAATAAATAGGAGTAAGTGCAATTTTACTGCACTGCCCTTTTCACATTTAATTTAAATAAAAAAGTGACTAACACGTGGGGACCAGGGAAGGGGTTACTGATGGGTTACTGACCCATCAGTTACTCACCCGATCTGGACCCGTCCTGCTCTCAATCCAATAACTGGGCCTGTGCGGCTTGCCCCTTTTTCCTGATACCCGGCTAGGGTGTCTATTCGGTTCGGTTTTTCGGGTTTACCCGAAAACGACCTGATTAGATACATTTACGATTTTTTTGGTTCGGGTTTCTTTTTGGTTTCGGGTTTAGTTTTGCTTATCGGTTTTTTGAGTTCCGGCTGAAAACCTCCAAAGAATAGAACTCAGCATGTATTCTTAGGCGTTCAGGTTTTCGTGTTTCGGTTTTGCTTTAACCGAACCCGATAAGGAATTTTTGGGTTTTGGGTAACCGAAAACCAAAAATCCTTATCAGGTTCGGGTTTCAGTGATTTCGGTTTCGGGTTTCGATTCGGATATCTAAACCCGACCCGAACTGACACCCCTATACCCGGCCCGTTTTCGGCAAGTGGAGTCAAATAGATTTTTTTTAATGATTTGTTTAGATTTTAGGATTAGGGATGGCAATCAAACCCATGCCCACGGGTAGCCGACCGCCATCGACCCAGTTAACGCGGAAAATCTCCACTTTGACTGGGTATGGGTAAAACCCCAAAATGTTTGATGAGTATGGGCGGGTGTGGTTTTAGCCTCCCTCGTCCCATACTCATACTCGCCTCATCAAGAGTATTTCTTCACTTATAAAAAATACATGGATCAAATTGTGATGTGTCAATGATAGTGAGGGTACCTCAAGAAAATAAATAGTAAAAATGCAATTGAGTGGCCACCCTAATCAAAACCTAATCCCTTATCCTCAATTCTCCTCTCACTCTTTCGATTTTTTCCCCTCGAGTTAACAAGATTATGTTAGTTAGTTTTTACTTAGTAGATGTATCAAAGTCAGATAATAATGATTTGAATTACATTGTACTGTATCTTATGAATTAATAGATGTTTAAGTATAAGATGCTTTGAGCCAATTAAAGAATGATTGTCTCTTTGTCAGCTTCATGATATAATAGGTGCATTTAATATTATATTCGAAAATTTACTTGTAAAATTTAGGTATTATAATATCGGATGTACGATGCGGGTATCACCCATAGGTACCCGAAACCCACGGGTATGAGTATGAATATTCAAAAGCGAAGATGAGATGGTTTAGGCGCCCCCCCCCCCCCCCCCCCCACACCCCCAACCGGCCCCATTGCCATCCCTATTTAGGATTTGATATTTGAATTTTCAGATGTTAAATAATTTGTTTGGATATTAATTATATATGGTACTTGAATTTGTGCCAAATATATGGGGTGTTTTTCAAATACATATCTAGTATATTACTTGTCAATTTCAAATATATTTCAACAACTAGTAATTTGAAATTCTTTCTAACGAGAGATTGAACCTGTTTGCAAATACTTAAAAGTTTAGGTACTATAAAATACATAAAATTATCAAAATTTAATTTTACCACCAAAATTCATGGACCTTTTTTGTGAAAGTTTAAAAGTTTAGACATTAAATTGTAAGAAAAAATAAATTTGAATACCAAAATGTAATTTACCAGAATTTGTAATGAGTTGCTAGAAAATTCAAAATTCAATTAAAAAACTAAAATACCAACAAATTACAAATGAATATCCGAGTAAAGAATTCAAATTACATGTATTTCAAATACTAGCATTTCAAATACATGCATTTTAAATATATTATATTTGAAATACACTTGTCCAAATGCTCTATAAGGGTAAATATTTAGAATCTTATCTTATTTTAATTTATATTACTATTGTTGTGAGAAACTTTTTGACACATAAGTATTCGCCTAAACTGAATCGCTATTCGTCGCCCTAAAATTCAAATTTTATCGCCCTAAAATGCACCAAATTGGCAATCTTACCCTTTCACCCCAATTTCCCGAAACAAACAATCCGTTATCCTGCTAACCGCCGCCGACCTCAACCACGACGCTGCTGTCACTGTGGGATTCTTCACTCCGGCAGCTGCCCGCCTCAACCTAACCGCCGCTGGTGCTCGCTGCTGGGATCGAGCCAGAGGAGTAAGAAGACGAAGAAGAATACCGCCGCCTAACTCCTTTGTCCTGCTGCTGATAATTATTCTCTCCAGCCCACTGGCCACCTAAATCCAACCATCGCTGCTTGCCTACTGCTGATGCCGGATTCTTCTATTGGTAAATTATCTTTGCATCATAAATAAAATTGTAGTGGGTTGGTTGGCATAGCCGTAGGGCCTGCTGATGAAGAAGAAATGGTGTAGAATACAAGAAGTGTGCATTTTTTTTTTTTGTTTGTTTCCAGGCGTCGGAAGGGTGAAAATCCATCTCCGGCGTGATTGGGTTTTCAATTTTTTTTGTTTGTTATTTTGGTGTATTTGTAACTTGTAATTCATTAATTTGTTTTTTGATATTTTATTTTGTTATTGAGTATAGGCTTATAGCTGTATGGGTTTGTTTTAGTGTTTATATAAATTTTGAAAGATAAGAATTAAGTTAAGGTTATTTGAGTCATTTTAATAAAAGTTAGGGTGACGAAGAAGGTGTTTTAGGGCGACGGATAGCAATGCCCCTGATAAAATGACGGAGCATTGATGTATATTTCTTAAAAATGTACAATGAATTTTCATTTGATGCAATTTCAATCCATTCTTTTTATTTTTGACATACTTCTATTTTTGCTTTCATACATGCTTATTAAAAATCTTGCATTTACTTTTTCTCTAATACAAGTTTAGTTTCTTTTACATAGTTCTTTTCCCTTCTAGTGCATGAAGATTTGACAATTTTAAGTCGGATTTGGATTGCATAACCTCAGAATTATGCAAACTTTATAATCAATCTCGAGATCTTTCATTACACAAATTACACAAATGATTGGGATCCCAATGACTTTTTTAATACACAATTTTTTTTAATTGGATATTTTGTATTCTTCGTTTTATCTCAAACTTCAGAAAATAAATTAATTTTAATCTACAAATAATATATATTTTGATACGTTTCAGCTCAAAAAAATTGCGATGATAGATATTATGCACTTTAGTTTTTTTTATACCACCTCTATAAATATATTTTTCTTTCCAAAATACATCAAGTGTGATATATTCCCAAGTAGCCAAGTACATAAGTTTTTATTACCTGCTAAAGAGCAATCAAAGTTGAGAAGAAGAGAGACATAATTTGACAAAGTGTTAAACTGGTTTCATGGTGCTTAGTTTGTGGATTCATATCTCACCATTGGATCAGTGAAAATTCAAATGGAGAGTTATCCATTGACGTACAAGAGTTAATCTACATATTGGAATGTTTTTTGGCCAAAGGACAAGTCCCTAAGGTCATTAACAAGATCGTGCAAGTTGCTATGAAGACACAGAGAAATTGTCCAATTTTGACCAAATCTGGAGCCGAGTTCGGGAAACCTACTTTGAGGGCTTATTCGATTTGGAGGAGGAAGAGCCGATTTAAGAACCGGTTGACAATGGGCTCGACGACGGGGTTGCCGAAGGAGAAGGATTTGCCTCCGGGGGAGAAGACGATGATGGCGATCTGGGGATAGGGCGACGAGTCAGGGGACCACTACTTCTACTAGGGGAGAGGCAGGAGCGACGGGTGTCGGTGTGATTAAGAGTAAGATGACCTCGATCTTACTTTCATTGCCCCCGTTCGCCACCGGAAGAAGAGGAAGAAGGGGAATCGGAATAGGTCACTTCGATTATTCCTTGTAATCGAGAAAAGCAAGAGAAGTGGTCGGAGAAGGCAAGAGCGGCGACGACTGGCTTTCATTTAGATGTCATCGTTGATCCCCCGCCGCTAGGTTACTCGGACGGTAGAGAAGAAGAAATGAAAAAGACGAGAGGGATATGAATGATTTCTCTCTCTCTCTCTCTTCAAATGGTTAATAGTAGAAATTAGAGAAAATAAATTGAATTATAATTTTTAGGATGACGAGACAGTGACATGGTGTGTTGACCGTCCAAATTGACTGTCAAAATACGCGTCCGACCAAACTAGATTATAATTAAGGCCACAATAACATTTTCTAAAACTGCGTGACAAAATTGATTATTTAGGTATAATACGGAGGAATTTAAGGTATTAACCCTTAGAAAATTCCTGTAAAACATTTTTGCTGTCTGGCTTTACATATCCCATTGTCACATGGGTTTGATCGGCGGTCAAGGGAAAGGAGCTGTTTGATTCCAGGATTAAGGTCATTTGACTTGGATGTATATAGCTGCAAATGTGGTTGGTGCTGCTTATTTGATTCTCTCACCAAACCTCAACTGTGCCTGTTTCATTTGTCACTGCCAGGGTGTACTTACTAATTGTTGTAATGGTTGGCATGTCTTTTGGCTAGTTGACTTCCACCTTTGAATGGCAGCCTAGCAGATGCCTCAAATAACCAATCGTCTTGGGACGACAAACGATATTGCAACTCAATATGCTAGTTAGTGGCCTAACATTCCACTGTTAAAACAAAGAGTGGCGTAGTGCGTAGAAGATCAGCGAAAAGAAAGCGAATTTCTATGGTTTGAGGCACTATGTGTCTCCAAAAGTTTCACTTTAGATAATTATATGGTCTGATCACTCTACATCTATCATCATACCGAAGCTTGTTTAAAAGGGTAAGATACAAAGAAATAAAAAGATGAGAAAGAAAAAGGCCACCCTGAAAATCTAGAAATAGGATCTTTGCAAATTTCACATTCTCAAATTTACGGGGAACAGAGTAATCTACAGGTCTCCTCTGGGCCAAAATTTGCAAAATGAAAACCCAAAAGGTGGGGGAAATAAAAGGAAGAATGGTTGCCTGCCCATAGTGATTTCTAACCATTGATCAGTACATGACATGAGCTCCTTAGGCAGAGCAGCAACCTCCTTTCTTAACATTGCCTGAGCCATCTGCAACATTGATGGTGGTTCCTTGGCCAGGAATTGAAGAATTAGCAGCCGCTTCTTGTGCAGCCAATGCCTTTTTGCTTATGATATGGTATATCTCTGTCAGTATCGTCTGGAACGCCTTCTCGACATTTGTAGCTTCGAGTGCAGACGTCTCGAGGAACGAGAGCCCTTCTCTCTCTGCCAAGGTATGGCCATCTCCATCCGAAACCGCTCGCAGGTGATTCAAGTCGGACTTGTTCCCAGCCATCATTATGACAATGTTGGAATCTGCATGGTCTCTCAACTCCCGTAGCCACCTTTGGACATTGTCGAACGTTTGCCTCTTGGTAATGTCATAGACAAGGAGTGCACCAACTGCACCTCTGTAGTAAGCACTTGTGATCGCTCGGTACCTCTCCTGGCCTGCTGTATCCCAAATCTGAGCCTTTACAGTCTTTCCTTCCACCTATGCCAATAAGAAGAAGAAGAAAACAACATTTCAGACAAACGAAAGGTGCTAATGCTTGCATTCGTCACATTACACATCCCCAGTTCAGCAGACTAGCTCTTCAACCAGAAACTAATAGCTGGCGTACATTGATACTTGCACTGATTTAGGCCATCTAAAGAACCCTTCTCCAGTTCTCCTAAACATCTAAAGAATCCAGTCGAAGCATTACACTCACCACTGGAGTAAGCACACACAGTCTGATCAGCACAACTACGTACACACTCTTTTATGGTAATCAAGTATTCACCAAACGAAGTTTGCTTCTTGCATCAATTAGCTTAACAAAACCGATGACTGAATTGCCTTGTTAGGATTTTCCAGGACAATACAACAGACCAGAGAGAATACCAAACTTGGCAATCAAACATTTCATGATCACGGCAGGGCGGAATAGCGAAAGAAGACCGAGAAACAATTGAACACTTCCGGCACCCAATAACAAGGAGCAAGAATAACAGAATTCAAGACGTCGAGCAGGCTCGTGCGAAAACCAACTAAGATCGATCGAGAGAGGAGCATTTCTGACCTGCAAAGTTCTGGTGGCGAACTCGACGCCGATAGTAGATTTGGACTCCAAGCAGAATTCGTTTCTGGTGAAGCGGGAAAGAATGTTGGATTTACCGACGCCGGAGTCCCCGATCAGCACAATCTTGAAGAGGTAATCGTACTCGTGATCTACCCTATGCGCCATTGGTTTCCTGTTCCGTCTCAACAAATACTAATACTGCTCTCACTTTATCTCCAAAATTCCTTCCTCTCAGATCTCTCGAACCTGCGAGATCCATATACACAGATTAATCGTGAAGTTCCACCCTCGCCGAGGCACATAGATCTGAAAAAAGGAAAGTTTCCGAGAGAGAGAGAGAGGGGAAGACGACGACGACTTACCCGAGGGGCGAACAGATCGAGAAGAGAAGGAACAGTTGTCTAATTCGGATTGGAAGACGGGGGAATGGAATTCTCCGGCGAGCGCGATTCGAAATTCCGGTGGACTCGGTGGTCTGTTCGTATTCCCTTTCTCCAATGTGTTGTCCTTTTTTTCTTTTGTTTATTTCACTTTTTTTTTCTTTTCTTTCAGGCGAGACCAGCAGCGAGAGGAGAAAAGTAGAAAACGGAAAGAAGGGTATGGGAAATGATTTGGAAACGGGCAATAAATACGGGGGAGGTGGGTAGAGGGGGAAGATTCTGCCGTTGTGCGCGTGGTTGGGGAATGGGGAGGGAGGGATATGAAGACGACGTCGTGGCGGTGGGTGGGATAGGTTGGACGACAGGAAAAGGCCGAAAACGACAGCAGACGATGAGATGGTGGCAGCCTGGCACTGCCAGTGGCCAGTGGGATGTTGTTGTGGTTGTGGAGGTCAGGATTCCAGTTATCCACGCCCCTTTACATGATGACACAAATATTGTGGAATTAAAAATTCTAGTGCGGTTACCATAGCAAAAATGAGCCGAGTCGAGCTTAATTGAATTTTGATTTAAGTTTGAGTTGGCTAGTTAATAAATGAGTCGAGTTCTTGTTTATCAAAGTCTTGCATTGAGTTTGACTTGACCTCGGCTCATAAATGAGCTTACAAGCTCTACTCGAGGTTGGCTCATCAATTAGCTTGCGAGATCGACTCGAGCTAAGGTATCATTTTGTTTAGTTTATAATTTGCAATTGTTCGTATCGTATTATTTCATAGTAATTAGTATTTGAACAATATGTGTACATAGTTTCTCTTCTAAATTATAAATGAAACATATATGATAACGTGCTCACATTTTTAAAGAACATATGTGTTTAAATATATAATCTAAGAAACCTATGAATTATCAACAAGTTAATAATAAATTACCAATCGGTTCGGTCATAAGTTGCTAGTTGAGGCGGTTTGCTAGTCATACTGTCGAGCGAGCTCAATGCATAAAACGAGCTAGCTCACGAGTTGAACTCAACAAGCCACCAAGGCGAGTTGGCTCACAAGCCTTATTAGCCGAATAAGGCTTACCTCAAACTCGGCTCGTTAGTAAACGAGTCGGGTGTCAATCAAGTTTTCACGAGCCAAATGTCGAAGCGCTCGTAAGTAGTTTGGCTCATTTGCAGCACTAAGTGCGATGCTCATGCATACCAATCGAAATAGGCAGAGTTTAACTTAGTATGTGTAATGTTGCACATATTGAGTGAGATAGTTGAAATTTAGCTCAACATGCACAATATTGCATATTAAGAGGTAGTTTGCTTGTAGGATTTTGGATTAAAATCTCAAACCCATGGGATTATGCACAAAGTCCATGTTTGTTGTTAAAGTGGTATTGGATTATGGTGTGTGGGGGCCATGCATATGGAATTATTTTAAGTTAAAAAACCATGGGGTCCACGGATTCTAAAATCCATGATGGTAAATGACAGACCTATTCTCATCTCTTTTCAATATTTCATATATTGAACATCAAGGAAACAAATCATTAAGGATACATATGTAAATTTAGTCAGTTAAATAAACATGGCATGAGAGGGGTAAGCGTCGATGATTTTGCTCTCTTGGAATGTTAGGGGTTTCAACACCCCTGAGAAGCATAGGTATGTATATAGTCAGTTAAATAAACATCAAGTAGATTTTGTTGCTTTGTTAGAAACTAGAGTTTTAAAGGAAAATTCTGATCCTATAGTAAAATGGCAGTTTAAAGATTGGGAGTTTATGGATAACTATAGTAAGTCTGCTTCGGGTCGGGTCTGGTAACTATGGAGGAATGGTTTACAGGTCACGGAATTGGAATCTGGGGAGCATTTTCTTCGTGTGAAGATCACCTCCAAGACTGAAGAGTTGATTGTTACTTCAGTCTATAGTCCTAACAAAACAGTGCAAAGGGCTCAGTTGTATAAGGATATGGGAGTGTGTCGTAGAGATTACCTATCATTGGTGGGTTTTAGGGATTTTAATGCCATTGCTGAGGTTAATGAGGCCTCCAACTCGGTGGTGGTTAACCAGAGCATGATGGACTTCCGATGCTGGATTGATGATATGAACCTGGTAGATCATAGGGTCACAAGGTCTTGGTATACATGGTGGAAGAAACAGAACTCTAATCCTATTGCCAGACGTATAGATAGAGTCTTAGTAAATGGCTCTTGGTTGGATAGTTTTCAATCTAGTACAACTAGAACGTTAAGCCCAGGTGTTCCTGATCACCGTGGTTTGTTGGTTTCGACTTCTAATGGGTTAAAAAGTCTCCCAAAACCATTCAAGTTCTTCAAGTTTTGGAGAACTCACCCCACTTATTTGGACTTATTGAAATCTGCTTGGGACGATTCTTACGTAGATTCCTCGATCCTTTTGATCGTCTCTTCCTAAAGCTTCCGAGATTGAAGAAGAAGCTTAAGGTTCTCAATAGAACTGCTTACTATGATGTCTGTGCTCGAGCAAGGGAGGCTGAGACTCTATTGGCCACTGCTCAGGATGAAGTGCTTGTTGGACCTACTACAGAGAATGTGGAATTCGAGCGCTAGTTGGCTCAGGCGTGCTTTGAGTCTCAGGTAGCAGAAGAGAGTTTCTTCAGGCAGAAATCTCGAATGAATTGATCATTTAATTTCTGATGATGGCTTGAAGGTTACTGATGTAGAGCAGTTGGGACAGGTTGCAGTTGGTTTCTACAGGAAATTACTTGGTGAGACCAATAGGGAATTACTAGAGCAGCTGATGAGTTTTTATGAAGGGCTACTCAGGACTAAATTGTCATCAGAGGGAGTTAGTGATCTACAGAGGGGGGTTACTCTTGAGGAAATTAAATCTGTGTTTATGTCCATGGCATCAGACAAGGCACCAGGCCCGGATGGATACCCTGCTGACTTTTACAAGGCTGATTGGAGTATTGTGGGCAAGGATGCAGAGGATGCTATACTGCACTTCTTTGAAACAGGTATTCTACCTAGAAAGATTAAGGGGTCGTTTGCTTCATGAATTTGAAAAATGAGGGTTTTGATAAAACTTGGGTTTTGGAAAACCATGGATATATGATGGATTTGGTGGCATTATGGATTTGACAAAGTCTATTGTTTGCTTGTTGGATTTGATTATAGATTTTGTTTGAATAGATTTGTGAATATGAAATTCAAATTACCTTGTTACCCTTATCTTATCTAATTATATTTCTATATTATAATCCATAAATTTCATTAAAAAAATCCAACGCATACAATGAAATTTTAAATTCTTTACCACTATGTGGACTAATAATTCAACTACAAATATAGAAATGTATTATAGTTTGGCACTAATTAACAACTCATCTAATAATGTACGCAATATTATGTATCAATTGCAACCAATTGCTCGCTTTATTGCTACAACTCATCAACTTCTTGCTAACTCCCCGATTTTCGAATCCAACAATCAATCAAATAATAATGCACAAGACGAGCATAAGATGTTTATAGTTGAATCTAACAAATCACATATACATTCATATTTAAACAAACTATGATATTACAAAATGAAATGAAAAATTCTCATATATATAAAATACGATATTATAAAAGTTTATAATTGCATGACCATTGAATTAAAGTAGGACAACTTTGTAATTAAAGTAATAAGTAAGGGTAGAAAGGTAATTTACCATCATGGATTTTAATCCATCACCCAAATCCCACCTCAAGAGGTGGAACTTCCAAGTCCGTGGGGTCCACGAATTTGGAACCCCATAAGTGGCGGGACCCACAAATTCCATCTCCCTAATTCCCTAATGCAAACGATGGATTTCCGTTAAAGTCCATGATAGATAAATTTCCATGACCAAATCCATCACCAAAACCCTCAAGCAAACGACCCGTAACTCTACTATCCTTACTTTGATCCCAAAAACAGCTAATGTTGAGAAAATGAAGGATTTCCGACCAATATCATGTTGTAATGTGATTTATAAGGCTATAACTAAGGTGTTAGCCAACAGACTGTCCAAGTACTTGCCTAACTTGATTGGAAATTCATAGACTACTTTGTAAAGGGTAGATTAATCTGTGATAATATTCTGATGGCCTCAGAGTTAGTTAAAGACTACAATAAATCATCTATTGCCCCTAGGTGTGTGGTTAAAATTGACTTGGTGAAGGCCTTTGACTCAGTACATTGGACTTTCCTGTTTTCTGTCATGATTGCTATGGGGCTTCCAGAAGGGTTTGTTCACAAAGTTAGAGTTTGTGTGACTTCCCCTATGTTCAGTGTGCATCTAAATGGGGTTTTATGTGGTTATTTCCCGGGTGGTAATGGGCTTAGACAGGGGGATCCCCTGTCTCCCTATCTTTTTGTGATTGCCATGGAAGTATTTTCATGTCTGTTGTCACAGGCTATGAAAGCAGGCAGTATACCATACCATCCTCGTTGCAAGTCACTTGATGTTTCCCGCCTTATATTTGCGGATGACCTACTTGTATTTTCAAATGGTTCAGTGGAGGTTGTGGAAGGGATTAAGGGTGTCCTGCATGAGTTTTATGCCTTGTCGTGGTTAAAGTGTAACCCAGAGAAAAGTCAGATTTTCTTTGGGGGGATTTCAGAGGAGGATCAGCAAATCATTGCAGCCTCGACAGGTTTCCTCTTAGACAGTTCCCAGTGAGATACCTATGAATGCCTCTCCTAGCTGGTAAGCTTTCAAAAATGGACTGACAAATCTTAGTTGAGAAGATTACAACTAGGATCAGAGGGACTTCAAAGTCAATTAGCTATGCAGGCCGCCTACAGCTGGTTACTTCAGTCATCTCGAGTGTCCTTCAATACTAGATGAGTGTATTCATCATCCCACAGAATGTACTTAAAGACATTGAGACTATTTGCAATAACTTCCTATGGGGTGTAGGTAATGGGGGATTATGTGGTAGAACTTAAAGCTGAAGGTGGATTGGGAGTGAAGCATTTCGAGGTATGGAACAGGGCCTGTGTTATCAGGCACTTATGGGACATTCTAGCAGGTAGTGGTTCTCTCTGGGTGGCCTGGGTAAGAAAGTACAAACTGAGAACCAAAACAATCTGGGAGGTTGCCCCCACTTAAGTTGGTTCTTGGGTCTGGAAACGTATTTTGAAGGCAAGAGAGGAGGTGCATCAATTTATCACAGGTGAAGGCGCTTCATTAAAATGGCCATGACAGTCCATGACTCGTTATATAGTTAAAAGATTCTGGCTTTCTATCCGTTCTCCATAAGCTTTAGTTCCTTAGTCTGAGCTTTTTTGGGGACA